TGTGTGGAAAGAGCTTCAGTAGGAGTGGAAACCTTCATAGACATCAAAAGATCCATTTGAATCAATGCTTAAAGGATGTAGAGTACTTCGGAACACGCAGTAGGCCCCAAAGGATCCAAGAGGGAGGAAAGGAATATCAATGCTCTGATTGTGAAAAATCCTTCAAAACAAATGGACAACTGCAAAGGCATCTAAGCGTCCACTCAGGACAGAAAACACATAAATGCCCGGAGTGTGGAAAGAACCTCAATGATGAGAGCAGCCCTTGCAAACATGAAACAATCCAGCCTGGAGACAAACCAAATAAATGCCTGGAGTGTGGAAAGAGCTTCACTCAGAGGAGAAGCCTTTATACACATCAAAGGATCCACACAGGGGAGAAATGTTATAAGTGCCCAGAGTGTGGAAAGAGCTTCAGACAGTTGGGAACCCTTTGTAGACATCAAAAGATCCACTGGAGAGAGAAACTGAATAAATGCCTGGAGGGTGGAGGATCCATTGAAAGACCCGGGATTCCGCAAAGGATCCCGGAGGGAGGAAAAGAATATCAGTGCCCGGAATGCGAAAAACGCTTCAAAACAAATTCACATCTTCAAAGGCACCTAAGGATGCACTCAGGACAGAAACCTCACAAATGCCTGGAGTGTGGAAAGAGATTCAGTGAGAGGGGAAGCCTTTATAGACATCAAAAGATCCACACAGGAGAGAAACCTTATAAATGCCTGGAATGTGGAAAGAGCTTCAGATATAGCAGCAGTCTTCACACGCACCAAAGAATCCACACAGGAGAGAAACCATATAAATGCCTGGAGTGTGGAAACAGCTTTAGACATAGCAGCAACCTTTACACACACCAAACAATCCACACAGGAGAGAAACGTTACAAATGTCTGGAGTGTGGAAAGAGCTTCAATATGAGTGGAAACCTACATAGACATCAAAAGGTCCATTTGAATAAATGCCTGGAGGGCAGAAGAGTCCTTCGGAAGACCCAGAAGACCCCGAAGGATCCAGGAGGGAGGAAAGAATATCAGTGCCCGGAATGTGAAAATCTTTTCAAAACAAATGGAAATCTTAAAATACATCTAAGCATCCACTCAAGAGATCAATCATTTAAATGCAAGGAGTGTGGAAAAAGCTTCAATCATAGGAGTAGCTTTGATACACACTATGATGCCAGTCTCTTATGTCCATGATTTTTTTTGTTAAATAATAAAAATGTCTAAAAACTTATTTCCCTTTTGCAAAGTGTCAGTTTTGAAATAGTTTACAAAAGTTCTTGACCCTGACATCAATTAACCCCCAGAACTGCTGCGTGTTTGTTCCTTGGTCATCTTGATCTCCTCCCTTCCTCCAACTTGTGGAGAGCTTGCACCAACTCGGCCACAACACTCCCACAGCTTGCAGGGAGAAAGTCGGTGGGGAATCCAGCAGGGAACGTCATGTTGCATGGTTGCCCCCCAATCTGCACATCCTTCCTGTCCTCTGCAACCAGGCATTGGCCGCTTGCCCACCCTCCTTGACACCTGCTGCATACTGCCTAGCTACCGTGTTTCTCCAACAATACGACCTCCCCCAGTAGGAAGACCCACCATGTTTTCTAGGCATAAAATGAAATGAAAGCCCCTCCCCCCATATTTAGGCCTATTTTAAAACATGCGAAATGGGGGGAAGGACGGGGGGACTTGCTGTTAGGAGCGCCCCGCAGGCAGCAATTTTTCACCAACAGCTGCTCCTAATGGGCGATCATGGCAGAGCACGGAGAGCTCTCTACTCCTGCCAAGCACCTTTGCTGCAGCCCCAAGACCTTCAGCGCCCGCCACTGTTGATTTCTGCCCATGCCGCCACCGCATTTAGAGCTGCTGCTTCCAAGTTTGGAACACCACCGCTGTTTAGAGCACTGCCGCTGTTTGGAGTTGCCATGTCCGCATTTGCAGCTGCCGCCATGTTTGGAGCTGCTGCTTCCATGTTTGGAGCACTGCTGCTGTTTGGAGCACTGCCACCATTTGGAGCGCCGCCGCCACTCTAAACACGGCTGCAGCTCCAAACGCGGAAGTGGCAGCTCCAAACTTGGCAGCGGAATGGGCAGAAGGGAAAGCAACAGCGGCGGGTCTTGGGGCTACAGCAAAGGTGTTTGGTGGTGAGTAGGGAGCTCCTTGCACTTCGCCATGATCACCCGTTACGAGCGGCTGGTGGTGAGGCTGCCCGCGGGGCGCTCTAGATGAGGATGCAAGGAGGGAAATGAAGTCCCCCCCGAAAAGACGGCATAACCGTTTTTGGGGGGCTCAAAAAAAAAATATAAAACCCGGCCTTATTTTATGAGAGACACAGTATCTGCGACCCCCTCAGCCACCCCA